TTTACACAAAATAGACAACGATTCTAAATTAAAGCAAATTGTCCACTGATGGGCATATTCACTTTTATTGCCCTTATTCATGAGAGTCTCTGTGTTGATTATCAGCTTACAGCCTTCAACAGAAATCCACTCACTCCAGCGTAAGTTTGCTGCCAACACCCCCAAAACCATGGGAGAGCCTTAAGCATTACATTTCTCCCATTAAGCCAGTAGGTCTTTAACAGCATGGTCATATGCCGAGTTCAATGAGACTTACTTCCAGGTAAGGGGATATAGGATTACATCTGTGATCCCTTAGCTTTGGCTTTATTGTGCCTTGGCTTTTACACATCCTAATTTTTCACTTCTAGACAATGCCTTCTAGATTCAACATCATCTTGCAACTAATTTTCACAGGGAGAAATAACAGATAAATTTTTCGTGGTGGGCATCCCTTAAAACAAGAGGCACACAGAACTGAAAGGTTGCAGAAATGTACATGACACTTGCTAATACATATCTGTGATTTAGTGTACTGAGATCAAACCAAATATCTATGTGAAAGTTATATCCACACAAAGCTGGACTCTATAAGGAAAGTTTTGCCGGCACTTTAGTAAAAATGAGGCTAAGGGCATATCAAAGACCAGAGAAGCAACTTTCATAACACTATGTGACTTCCCCTCAAAAATTACACTTTTAAATGGAGTTAGTACACATGTCCAACTACAAACCATCAAGAAATGGGCATGCATGTATGAACTGAAAAATTAGGCATTTAAAATCACAAAGGTACACTGTAGAGAAATTTGTTTTAGAGGAGTCCTATATTTGATGTTGAAGGCATTCGTAACCATGCAGATATAAAGAGGTTTTGCTTCGTACAATATTTGATTAAGTTTACCAGCAAACCAGAATCAGAAACCATGGATGGAAGTGAATTTATAGACCATGGTTTAAATAAGGTTGCCCATGCTGTTTGGATTGACAGTTCTATAGTTGCAGCAAGTTTCTTCACTTCCAGAGGCCACTAAATGCAAAAACTAGAGTACTGAGAAGAAAGAAAATTACACTGGAAAAGCTGCTCCATACTATGGTTTGGAAGTGATGTCTGACTTGAATCAACGACTCAGCAAGCCATTCGAGATTTTGGCTCCTTCTATTCATGACTTGTTCTGAAATGTGGTTGACCTGCCTATTCCATTACAAAGGGAGAATGTTCTTCGTAATGAGAAAATGCAGTGTTCCTGCCAAGTGTAAAACAATATTGGAAAGTAATGGCAATTGTGAAAGGCAGCAAAGTCACCAATTTTTACATTACTTTTGAGAAACCATTAAACACTGTAGGCCAATGTCAATTTTTTAGACTCTCACTTTCCCTGGGAGTAAAACACCATTGAACTCAATGAGGCTTTTCTTTTTTTTTAGTATAGGACTGCACTGTAAGTCTTTTAGCCGGCCCTAAATCATAATCTATTTAGTATCAAGATAAAAATCAAGCTCTCCTTTTGAACACACAGACACACACACACACACACACACACACACACCAGGCTATCAATTTACAGTACTATGAAGCTTAAGTGACCTGAGGTCATGGCACTTAGAAAGAACTGTCAAACACAGAAGACGACAGTATTTGAGGAACTACAGGTATAAAAAAAAATTTTTTTTTAGATTTTTAAAATTCACTCTGTAACTTGTCTACTTTTCTTGATAAGATTATATCATGTGGATCAACTTAATTTATTTTTTTTTAAAAAAAGGTGAGACCACGCAGGCTCCTTTGCACTAAAATTCTACATCAGCTTTGGAGGGGGCTGTTTATAAAGCAAAACATTATTTAATTCCCTGCAATATTGATTGTAGAAAACAGATATGAGAATTAAAAGCCCATAGTTCAATTAGCTATTCACTACTTAAAACATTTGACAGTAAGAAAATATATCTCCTTTATCTTTCACAGTTGATAAAAAGGCACTACTCCATTTCACCCAGAATACTTTTCTGCAGATCACCTTACAGTGCAATACTGTGCATGTTTACTCAGAAATAAGCCCAGCAGAGCTCAGTGGGACTTACTCCCAAGTAGGTGTGCACGTGATTGCAGCCTTAGTGTGTGTTTTTGGAAATATGGCATAGGAAGGAGATGCAAAGCTGCTGAGAGTTCCAGGGGTTGAACCAGGAACTGCAGGGGTCTGCTGCTGGGATGCAGTTTAGCAGCCAGTCTGGATGCTCTGTGTGGCCACGACAGCCCATTGCAGCTGCACAGGTTAACACCAGCCCATTGGTAGGCAGACTGAAGCCTCTGGGTTGGCCAGGCCTGGTACAGACACTAGGAGCCAAGCCTAGACCTTTGCTTGGTCAACAGAGCAGGGCATGTGCAGCTTCCAATTCAGCCCACTGATCTGGGGATCCCTAAATTGGAGATCACACCTTCTGAGTCTGGGTTCCAGTATGGATGCCCTTGTGCTGCTCTAGATGGCCCTGGCCTGGTACCAGCCCTAAAGCCAGCTCCATTTTGAAAATCTTCATATCACAAATCCCTAAAATAAATACTTTTTTTTAAAAAGGAAGTACAGGTTGCGTGGGGGTTGCATTCTGGGTCATTGCGTGTCTCAGCGATCACACGTAAGCCTGTTCCACCCCCTCCCAAGGCCGAAAACAATGTGTGGGTTGGCGGTTGCACATCTATCGGATGTGCACAAAATGGTCACCACCTGTACAGTATATTATCTTGATGTTTGAACTTGAGTTCCTTCAGCGTGAAACATAGCCAGCTGAACTCAGAGTTCAGTTTTTCAAATAAAGTTTTCTACAAAATCTGGCCACGTTTAAACATTCTCTTTTTAAAAATATACATACATAGAGTCTATATAATTCACATTCTTTCTCATGTGTTCCCCTCACTCAAGTCAAGACTCACAGCTGAGTTTCCTCTTGCTCCCGGGGTGGGGAATGTGAAAAGATGCCAACTTTTAAAGTTTAGGACGCTGCACAGGTTTCAGCCTGTGGGGAAAACGAGAACTCTGAACCCGTCTTGCTGCTGCTGACCTGTGTGAGCTTGTGCATTAAGCGGCTATTTCTTCTTTTGAGTGTTCCCAAAATCAGATTCCTGCTTGTGAATGTGAATTCACTGGTTCGTACCTAGTGTCAGTATAGTAACTTGTATTAAAATGCGCTTGATCGTCCCTTGCATTCAAGACTGCTTGCCAGCGGAGGCCAGGTAACTCCTGGCGCGAAAGAGTCAAGGGTTAAAATGTCCCTGCCTTCCAGAGGTGTGTAGTGTCGTTGCCAAGACCCTTCAGGCACACTGGACCCAAGCTGAGGCGTTTCTCCGATAACAAAATCCGATTTTGTTTGTTCGTATTCCCAAGGAGGGAGCATTTCATCTGAAGAATGTCCTGACATCATAACAGCAAAGGTTGGGTCACCTGTTGTGGCAAAGGAATTGGAAGTCAGAATACAGTTATGTCTTAAATGGAAAGCAGCTACAGCTTGGGTCATCTTAGCAATTTTGGTTGCTGCTTTCGAGGTATGTGAAATAAACGTGGAGATCGCCTATCCCAGGAGTAGGCAACCTAAGGCCCGGGGGCTGGATGCGGCCCAATCACCTTCTCAATCCGGCCCACGGACGGTCCAGGAATCAGCGTGTTTTTACATGAGTAGAATGTGTGCTTTTATTTAAAACACATCTCTGGGTTATTTGTGCGGCATAGGGATGCATTCATTTTTATTTTTATTTTCAAAATAAAGTCTGGCCCACCACATGGTCTGAGGGACGGTGGATCGGCCTATGGCTGAAAAAGGTTGCTGACCCCTGGCCTATCCCGTGAAGTTATGAAAGGTCCATACTGCAAGGAGAGCTCTGAATGGCTTTTATTGTGGCGCCACCAAGTGGACATTTAACTGATTCTACTAATATATCTTTTAAAACGCAATCCTTTCTATACGTACATTTGGGGGCATAATCCAGTCCACCAGGCCACAGCACTCATGAGCTGAGAATTTCTAGGTGCTCAACAGAACCCTGTCTCCCACCTGTGTGCAGGTAACAGGCAGGTGGGATAGGTCAGGGTGCACTTCTAATATATCCACCCAGCCCTCCCCCTTGCCTTGATAAACGTTACTCATTCTCTAGCGCCACTTGCGCCGAATGGAGATGCATCCCTCCCTTTCACCCAAATGTCTCTTGTGCCTGTGAGCAGATTAGGAAAGCAGGACTCTCATGGGGAACCCTCTGCATGTGCTCACAAATAATGGATCGTGCCTTTCTCTCTCCCTCTCTGGTTACTATTTAAAATGCCGGTACTGTATCTAGTTGGGACAAACGTTTCTATTCCAACAAACTGTACAGCATTAGGACTTGTAGAAAACCCAGACTTTGGGGGAACATCCTCTGTGTTGTCCTACATGCTAAGAACTCCCCAGATATGCCTCTGTCAGCCCCCCCATGCGCACACACCTTATCAGCCCCCAAACTTATTATCAACCCCAACAACTCAACAAAAACAGTAGTTCAGGAGGAAGACAGAACACACAGAGAGAGATTTTTGCCTCATCAGTAGGCCTGCTCTGCTGTGTGGGGTAGAGCTGTCCCTTGCATTTGCGAGAAAAGCCTACTCTATCTTTGTGTGACTGACATATATTTAAGAAAATAGAGAAGCATAACCATATATAAATCTACATTCAAAACCTGAACTTCTTTTGCTTCAAAACAGAAAATATAAAGTTAATGCTAGAGATGACAGAAAGATCAAAAGGAGGCAGAGAATGTAAAGAAGAGTTTGGACTGCCTTTGTTCCTATGGGATTGCTAGAATTACTGAATCAAAGGTGATTGCTGAAGCGGATGTGATCAAGTGAACTCTGGACCATTAGGATCCCCAAACATCTAAAAGACGGCCATTTGGCTTTCTAGTGCAGGATTCCTCCTTGAGAAGTTCAAAAGAAAAGAAAGAGAAAAAGATGAAACCTCAAAAGTGAGAAAATAGTTGTCTGCAGAAATGCCTAAAATATTACTTACATGTGTGTTGATTCTGGGAGGAAACTTCGAGACCGCTCTTCAGCACCATCTACTTGCAAAAAGGAGTCTACAGATCTATTGCTGAGTCGAATGGGAGCAATCCGCTGGAAGTTGTTTGGAGAATAAGGTATCTGCACTCTGGCCCGTTGGGATGGCACCACCATCTCTTCTCCAGAGAGCCAAGGCGAAAACCTCATGGTGGAGTTTTGTTCGATATCAGCTGAAAATACTGGATTATCAATGCCTATAAAAAGTCAGGGAGTGACAAATTCAATTGTTAAGTAAACAGGCAATAAGTTCACTGGCATGCAACAATCTCCACCCAATTGGCTAGGAACACAGAATTGTGTTGGGCTGATTGCAGAGGTGGTTCATCTTCATGTAGCTTAACGAACTGAGATCTCCCTTATTGCAAAGAGCAAAGCTCCCAGCTTCCTTGACCCCTTTCCTCTGTAGGACAATATTATATCTACTGCATCGCAATATGCCAAGGATACTTTTCATTCAGAGTCCCATTCATGGAGGTTACTAACAGACCACATAGAATGATCACAGAATCATGGTATTGTAGAGATGGAAGGGACCCCGAGGGTCATCTATTCCAACCCCCTGCAATGCAGGAATCTCAACTAGATCATACATGACAATGGCCATCCAACCTGTGCTTAAAAACCTCCAAGGAAGGAGAGTTCACCACCTCTCTTAACAACACAGAACTTCGTGATAAACCCACATAAAAATTTTGCTACCACTCTGTAATATTTCTCTCTCCATTATAACCTGAAGCACTATTTCATCATCCCAGGGACAGAGTTGAAAGTGATTACTGAAAAAAATAGTTCTGCATTGTAACTGTACTGCACAATTTTGCAATTTCATGATGAATTTAAACCCTTTAATGTGTGTGACATTTTTTGCAGGGTTTTAAGCAATCAGACTGCATTTGAATTGGATTTCAGATTTAGGAAATTAATCAGATTTTGAATCTGTGCAAATTCTTAATTTAACACCAGTTATGGTGTCCTTAATCCTCAGTCTGTTGTTATAACTATAGTTACTTATGTTAGATAGCATCATGATAAAAATCAAGATATGCTTTTATAATATTGCAGAGGTGAAATCGCGCCATTCATATGCTTACCACTTGTATCTGTGAAGTTCTGCTTGGTGACATTAGCAAGGAATTCTATTGCTCTCCCTGTCTGTAGATTGTCATAATCATTCTCCTCTGGTTCAGAAAACTCAATTTCTGGAAGAAAACAATATTAATTTACAGTACAGTCTTATACAGTAGTGCAAACTGAGGCATTTTTTTAAAAAAAAAACAACCCTCACTCACTGCTGGAAGTTTGGCTAATTAAACAATCTATGGGGGGATGTTGTTTTTGTTTGTTACTATGTTATATTTTTTTGTGTTTTTATATTGTAAACTACCCTGTGATCCTCGGATGAAGGGCATTATAGAATATTTATTTATTTATTTATTTATTTATTTATTTATTTATTATTTTAAACTGCTAACCTTGGCTTGGTTTGCACGTAATGTTAATCCAATGGCTTAGCGCAAGCCTCAACTGTGTGTGCTCTCAGGGAAGAGGCAATATCTGCTTGGCTCTTCTGGGCCTTCTGCTGCTGCCCTGAGTGTGTTGTCTGAATCTGGACTCTTGATTTAGCTTTCTCCAGACAGAGCTCAGGGCTGCCACACGTCTGGGAAATGCCAGACATTGCCAGGATTTCAAAGTCAGAATTGATGTCTGGAGGGAATTTCTGAAAGGTGGCGCTTTGTCCTGGATCTACGGCAAGTCACAACCACATTTTGGGGGTTTGTCTAAAAAAAAGTTCAACAATTTCGGTAGTTTCCTGGTTTCTTTGAAATATGGCAACCGCAACCCTATGTTATGGTTTGCAGCTCATAGCGTGTCTGAGAGAAGTAAGCCAAAGGCATACATGGGGGCAAGAGGAGGTTACAGAACAAAGCACTATTCAGGAGGGAAAGAAATAAAAAGGGGAGATAGGCAGTGGATGAACAGAGGGGCTGGCTGAATGTAAGAACAGAGGGACAACAGGAAGGAATGAGGCAAGAGGAATGGAGAGACTCGAGGGAGAAGCACCCAGGGTTGCTGACACACCATCTTGTTCCTCTGCTTCATGGACATGCCCACACTCCAATCCCCTTTGCTTCCCCACCAGTCTCCTACAGAGCCTGGAAGCCTCCCCTGACTCATTCCAAGGCAATGGCCCCCTGCTCCACCTCAGAAGGCCCACCTGGCCTTGGGCAGGGCCTCCTGGTGCTGCAGAGCTGGTGGGCAGGAGGGCACCCACAGGAGGATGAGTGGGAGAGAAGAGGAAACTGAGTCAGGGTGGTCAGGGGGGACTGGGAGGGGCACTGAAGGAAACTAATGCTTTAAATTATCATGATGATGATGAAGAAGAAGAGTTTGGATTTGATATCCCGCCTTTCACTCCCTTTAAAGAGTCTCAAAGCGGCTGACATTCTCCTTTCCCTTCCTCCCCCACAACAAACACTCTGTGAGGTGAGTGGGGCTGAGAGACTTCAGAGAAGTGTGACTGGCCCAAGGTCACCCAGCAGCTGCACGTGGAGGAGCAGGGAATCGAACCCGGTTCACCAGATTACGAGACTTAACCACTACACCACACTGGCTCTGCAAGTGATAAACTGCAAATAGAGAGGGAGGGGATAAGAAAGGGAGACTTACACAAGAAGAAGTGAATATAAAAAGGAGCAGGGAGGAGGGATAAAAGAAACCGGGAATTCTGGGGGAGACGGGGAATAAGATGCAAGTTAGATGTGACGGGGTGTGTGGAAATAATAGGAGATGAATAAAAATACTTTTAAGAGATTTATGGGGAAAGAGGGGAACATAAAAAATGAAAATCCTTCTCTAGTTAAGAGCTCTGGATGAGCAAATTCTATCTAAAGTGGAGAGTCTGAATCAGTTAATGGTCTATCCTTAGTTTGAGGAAAGCTGAACTACAGAATTCCCTGCCACAAAAAACTTGTTGTGGCAAAAATTTCCAGAATCAAATGATGCCAATGGTTGCCAGCTGATGATGCCAAACACTGCCCCCATTTTGTGTCTGGGGCCAACTCTGCATTGCCATGGTTCGGCCTCAGTAATTTTTGACCATCTCAAGTGGGCCTGGGGGAAGATAGTTTGAGAACCTCTACTTCAGACAATTACAACAAGATACAAACCCAAATATATTTGCAAATGGGAGTCAAGGTATTAGCAATTTAACAGCACATTTACCTTTTTCCTTTATGGCTTCCGAAGAGAGATTACCATTTGGAATGACATTGCTATTTCTCTGAAATAAACAAGCAAAATGACACACACATTTTGGTACATAGCATATACAAGCAGAAGAAGTTTGGAATCTTTTTGCGGGCCCAAATATTCCAGTGGTGAAATAAAAAGTGAGTTTCCATGTGTCACATAGCAGAAAAGCCTTGTGAAGCGCCTTGCACTACACCTTTTCTGTGTTTCCATTGTATAAGGAGCTCTCACCTATTTTCAATTTGTGTAATCAAAATTACATTGATTGCTCCAGGATCCAATAAATGGAGCCCATTTCTCCAGCAACAGAGCTGAATGACCTGGCTTGCATGACACTTGGGTTTGCCCAGGTCTGGCAGTTAGTGCGGAGAGCTTGACCGCAGGCCAAACCCTGGCTCAGCTCTAGTAAAAAGGGAAGAGGAAGCAACGCGGCTGTGAGCTCCTCTCAGGGAGCCCACACCTTCAAGCAGTCTCCGTGTGCCATAGACTGGCCTGCTGTGCCATGCAAACCAGGTCCATGTTGTCTTCTGGTAGTGCTTGCCACCTTGCCCATGGGTGCACTTTGAAGCCATTCCTTTATCGCAGGCATCCCCAAACTCGGCCCTCCAGCTGTTTTGGGACTGCAACTCCCATCAGCCCTAGCTAACAGCACCAGTGGTCAGGGATGATGGGAATTGTAGTCCCAAAACAGCTGGAGGGTCGAGTTTGGGGTGCTTGCTTTATCGGTTGTAGAGCTGGTGCCTGCCAGTGTCTACCTAGAACTAGTCTTAGCTGCAAGTTATATAATTGTGTTGGCATTCATGAAATCTTATCAACTTTTATCAAGTGAGACCGTGGGAGAATCCAGGTGCAGAGGGTTGTCACTGTTCACCGAAAAATAAGAGCCAAGGCTCATTTCATCTGTTAACTGCTGCTCAGGCCAGCAGAGGTCACCATCCCCATTCTGAGACACAGCTTGGCCATCAATGGAAAGTGCAAGAAACTCTGAAACCATAATCACCATTGCCATCAAAAGGGGGCATTACTACAGATAAGCATAATTCCTAGTCCCAGGCATGTTTATTCAGAGGTGGTCCCACTGATCTCAGTGCTACTTCCCCTTGGACAGCGTGTATAGGATTGCAGCTGCAGCCATAAAGTTTTTATTATACCTTGAGACAATTGCACAGGTGGTGATTAATAAATTCATGTCAATGGTGATGATGAAAACAACGCACATCCTGTAGGTGCAGAGAACGTGGCTCCAGCTCCCAAACAAAGTCTTTCAAAATCTCAGTTATGCATCAGCCTAAAGCTCCACTAAGTCAGCAGCAGTACTCAGTGATCATATCTTCTGTTGGTCTTTCCACAGATCTCTTAGTAACACCAATCAGGTTGGAAATGTACTGTGAGTGAAAAAAACAACCCTAACTCTCTATCATTGGAAATGCTGGACTTGTTGTTTCTCGCCTCCTTGCTGCAGAAGCAGTTGATTCCTTACGCGGCAGAACTCCTGAGTTCCACTGTGGGAGGACCCACCAAGAAATTAGCCACCCTAAGGGTCCTAATAGTTCCTCACCATGGATTACTGGCTCCAGCATGGCAAGGCTAAGCTCTCCATAACTGGCAGAGATGGCAGGCTTTTGCCATCACTGGATCTATCCCCCTCCTCCTGCGAGCTTTTTAGATAAGGAGATGGGAAACTGGATCAAACCAACAGATCAGATCCTGGCCTCCCCCACTGCTGTGGGCCACTCTGGCAGATGGGCAGGGCCACCCACCTCTCCCTCGCCTGTTACTGTTATGATGTTGGGGGACCACTGCAGGGGGGCTTGCTGTCCAGGCCAGTCAGCTGACCCACAGCAACAGTGAGCCCCTTTGAAGCGGCCCTTTTGCAGGCGCACTTTAGATTCCAAGTGGCGGGGCTGGGGAAGGGTCAGGATTTGGCCTGCCGGCCAGATCCAATTCCCCACCAACGTCTAAAAAGCTGGAGAAAGGGTTGGAGTTGCAAAGTTGAAGCTGATTCTGTTTGGATCACCAGCATTTCATGGTCTCTGCAGGCTCTTGCACAAGGAAGGGGCACAGTCTGCATGCCACTGACTTCTGGCAAAATCAAGTCCCCATCTACTTATTAACTTCATTACTTGCAGCATTTTTGTGGAACCCCATAACATAAAGATGGCTGGGCAGCTTCAAAGAGGTACCAGCATATTGCATGCATGGTGCGGAAGCAGTTTAGCACAGTGGCTCTCCCAGCTCATTTTCCAGCCACTTCTCCTTCACGGCTGGAAAACATTTGTTCTTACAAGTTTTTCCTTTTGGCAAAGTTGTAGCTTTACATCCAGAAAATTCAGCATACACGAGTCCACATGTGTAATTTTGCAAAGAACTCAAAAGATCGTTTCAGAACGACAGAGACAAATAAAGTGAAATGATTTGAAAAGAGTAGTAAAGTGAGGCAAAGGCCAATGGAAAAGAGGGCAATAATCCTGAACTGCAGAATGATTTGTTTGTTTGTTTATTTTATAAAAGTATTTATACCCCACCTTTCCATTTAAAAGAAAACTCACAACACACTATTAAAACACACCAAAACAAAAACAAACAAAAACAACTAAATAAATAAAATATACAGCAGCAAAATGTTTTTTTAAGGAAGGGAAAAAATCAAGGCAAAAACAAACCACACCAAAGCAAGCCAAGTAGAAGGAGAGAATTGAGATTACTTCTTTTTTTAAAGTCAACACAATCTCCCAGGCTCTGCCCCATCCTGCCTGTCTCAGACCCAAATTATGTGTGACATTATATATGTCACTTGATGTTGCACGTTTGTTTTTCCAATTAAAAAATAGCAGGTGTGGTGTGTGTCTGTGTGAGACACACAGGGCTGGGACTGTGCCCAGGAGGGGTTTAAAACCTCCCCTCTCTCCATGTTGCTGCAACCCCAACACAAAATCCCCCCACTGTTTAGATTCCCCCACAATGTTTAGATTCCACCTAAACATTAGGAAGAACTTCCTGACAGTAAGAGCTGTTCGACAGTGGAATTTGCTGCCAAGGAGTGTGGTGGAGTCTCCTTCTTTGGAGGTCTTTAAGCAGAGGCTTGACAACCATATGTCAGGAGTGCTCTGATGGTGTTTCCTGCTTGGCAGGGGGTTGGACTCGATGGCCCTTGTGGTCTCTTCCAACTCTATGATTCTATGATTCACTGCTGTTTGGCATGGGATGGAAGGGATTCCATCCAGGCCAAGGAAGCTTGACTCCTGTGCCAGAAAGCAGCTCTCTGTCTGTGCATCTTAGGACCATGGTGCAAAGGCTTCAACACCTCTCGCTGCATGTTGTGGCCGAGTCCTGAAAGCCTTCCCTCATATCTGCTATTTAATGTTTGAAAACAATCACACAACTCCAAGGGGCTGCAGAAAGCTCCTCCTTGTTCACTGCCTCTTACGCCAGCAAGTGCGTCCCACCGGCTTGGTCCCCCACCCTCCTGCCTCAGAGGACTTTGATGGGAGCTGCTACCTGGCTGGCAGCAGCCAGGGGGGAAACAAAGGATGAGGGCAAGAAACGCTGCCTGGGTAACCCTGGCACCACAGGGACACATGGCTAGAATAGAATGTGATTTCACTGTGAAAACCTTTTGCAAGCTGCTGTGCGAGAAACTGGGGGTGGGTTATAAATATTCTAAATTAATAAAGCGTTTGACCCACCAGAGACCTGGCACCCCTACGAGGGCATGGGCACCTGGCCTCCACGTTCCCTCCCCCTGCGTTAGTGAGGCAATCTCAACTGCTCTGCTCTTACTCTTTTTTGGCCTCGGTCTCTCTTGTGAATTTTGTTCTTCTTAGGGTGGCTCATGCCTAGTTTGGTGCTCTTGAACGACTCCAGGCGCCTCCTCATGGTCCTGTGGAAAATCTCTTTGTTTTGCTTATCGTCTTCGTTGGTGGATAGTTCATGGCGGCTGTACACATGCTTGTGCTGTTGGCAAGACAACAAGAATGATCAGAAGGCCAAAATGGATGTGTGTAGAACAAGCACCCAGATACAAATCCTTGCCCCTTAATGCCTGTTTCTGATCCCTTGCTGCTCCTCCCCACTGCACCTGGACTTGAGGCATAAAACTATAGAGAGAGTTCAAACAAAAGCTCTTTACCAAACCAGAAGGTTGGTGCTTCAAGGCTGTGGTCAGGAGTCCTGCACTGCAGGGGCTGGACATAGATGACCCTCAGGAGTCCTTTCAACTCTACAATTCTATGAATGTCTGAACCAGTTGGGATTATGGAAAACAACCAAGTACCTCTCCCTGCCCCCCCAAACAAGAGGACCACTCAAATTCCTAAAAGAGAGGGGAAAGCCCCCAGTATTCATGGTGTGACAGCAGCAATGGGGAATCTGAGGCCATTCACATATTGGTGCAGTACATACAAGCTGGATCACCCCTAACCATTGGCCATGCTGGCTGAAACAGTGGGGCCATGGGGGCTGTAGCCCTGGGCGCACAATGGGGGGGCGAACCAGGCATCTGCCTGAGATCCCCCTCCTCCTCATGCCCTGCCGGCGGCAGGGGCGGGAGAGCATGGAGGGTGAAGATCACCCTCCAAGTGTCCTGCCCCCGCCTGTTGCACCCAGCCGAGGCTCCCCCTTCCCTGGGTGAAGGCAGACTTGGGGGTGGAGAGAGGCTGTGAAGAGCAAGGAAGCTTCTGCTTCTTCACAGCCAGCCCAGCGGCGAGAGGAGCATTGCCACCCACTCTCCTGGACTGGGGCGCACAAGTGCACCCCTGCATGGGTGCCACAGCGGGCTCCCTTCGTGCCCTGCCCCCTTTGGGGGTGCACCCCACACGCCCAACCGGGCACTGTTTACCTCCATTCTGCCACTGGGTTGAAGCTGATTGGAGCTGGGAATCCAACAGCGACCAGAAAGTTGGACACACCCACCCCCCGAGTCTGTATGTACTGTACAAAATAAATCCCAAAGAAGAACACAGGTGGGGGCACTTTGCAACCTCCACCCCAGAGCTGCTTTGGAGATTTCAAAGCAGAGTTGAGAGAGGAAGTGTGAGAGACTTCTGCCTCCTCTCCCAAGCTTCCAGGTCTCATCTGAAACCAGGGAAAGGTGGGCACATGCATCTCCCTCCAACGCAAAATACACATGTTCCCACTTATAATGAGACTTAGGAGAGTTGGATCATCCAAAATGGCTCTCAGGTTTGGATCCAAAGAGCCACGAGCAGAAGAAATATAGCAGCTAATGCTGTCCTGCAAACCATTCTGAAAAAGAGTACATGGAATGCTATAACTGGTGGGGTTTATAGCACTTCTCATGCTCTTGGTTTCACAAGAGGATGTTCATGCTCTTGCCCATGGCAGAAGAGCTACTTCCTGGTTGCAGAATTATAGAACAGCTCTTGCTGTGAGCTACAGCTACTCATAATGAGAGACAAAGGTCCATTTTGCTTCTATTCTATTTCTCCCAGAATATCCAAATATTGTATTGTTAGAGTCTCCTATTCTGGCACTGGGGTGTTCTTAAGGTCTCACCTCTTGCCTGGGCTTGTACAAATACTGTTGTAGAGTGTGGTGGGTGAACATATCCTCTGCATCTCGGATGCTTTTTCTTCTCTGCTCCAGGGCTTGCATATCAAGACACACAGAACTGGCAGTTTCTCTCCTAAAGCAAAATAGACAGATAAATATTCATTCTTCCATTCTCCCTCCTTTCCTCCCTCGTCTCTCTATTGCTTTCTGTTCAACAAACAACAAAACCAGCGAATCTAGAAACATTAAAACACAGACATAATTGAATCCACACGAAACAATTCTTTGATACTAATCTGTGGTCAGTTTAGAAGTGGCCTTTGCAGGGAGCGTCCATCTCTCAGAGGAAGCTAGAGAGGGACAAGCTCCTGGTGGCTCCTTGTTACACTGAGCACACACACCTGGACTTGGCACTTTCTGTTCACCAGAAAGGAATACATGTGGAACGTGAGCAATTGTCCTAAGGGTGTGTAGGCAGGCTCCTAGTTTCTTACTGCAACCACAAAGTTGGAAGACAGCAGAACAGTGTTGGTCTAACTAAGGTATGTTTGAATGGTCCCCATCCCAGAAATTGTTCATATATAGAAAACCAGCAGCACATGGGCAGGAAGGAATTTCTTGCATGAGGGTTCAAACAAGCAATCCCACACCTGTAGGCTATATTCTAATACACCACAATTTACCTGAGAGTAAGCCCCTTGAAAACAACGGGACTAGTTCCTGAGTAGATATGCCTCAAAATGCTGCAGTGCTAAACATACTGAGCAGTAAGCTCCATTAAACACAGTGGGAGTAGACATACATAGGATTGTGCTGCATAACTCCTTTAGATTGCAAACCCCTGGGGACCTAACTATTGACATTCAGAAAGACTGCTATAAGCTGCTCTGAGCCCATGGAATAGGGTGGGCTACAAATCAAATAAATAGAAGCAGGAAAGCCAAGTCAACCACTTCCCAGTCCCATCAATCTCAATGGGAGAGTTAAGTGCTTTACGGAATCTGTCACATTAAAAGCACTGGGACTTTAAGTACTTAATTCTGGCTGGACTGTACCCAAAAGGTACCTTTTCACATTTCTTTCCCTACTGGACTTGTGATGCATTAGCTTTTGAGCTATTGGCAGAAATAAAACTGGATTCATAAAGTACGAGGCAAAACTTGCAGCCTTACTTACAGCAACTGGGAAACAGAGGGCTCTCCATTCATTTGATTAATAATGCTGAAATCCACATTGGCCGTGTTGTCAATACTTGCTGAGCGGATAAATGCCAGAGAACCTCTTCGCTCTCCCTGTTCAACAAAGAATACAACATACACACTCACACACATGGGACTATGGGGCTTTCAAGTAGAGAGCAAGTTTTATTTTTTACTATGGCTCTTGAGCTACTGGAGCAACAAGAAGCATCATGAAAACATGGAAATAGTTTCATATGGTTTCTCTGAGCTAAAAGCAATAACAAATAATATTCATACCTCTGGAGAAATGTTTTCGCTAACTAGAACAAGTCCCGGTAGATTATGTACACTGGAGGTTTGCAGGATGTAGACTGGGATCTACTTGATCTCTGATCAGTTTACAATAGATTGGCAAGGATTCTGACTCCCCTTAGTTTAAAGGCAGCAAGTAAAAGCAACAATCAATCTGTGCCACCGCTGGCCTTATACTATCTGCTTACAGTGGTACCTCGCAAGACGAATGCCTCGCAAGACGAAAAAGTCGCTAGACGAAAGAGTTTTCCGTTTTTTGAGTCGTTCTGCAAGACGAATTTCCCTATGAGCTTGCTTCGCAAGACGAAACGTCTTGCGAGTTCTTGCGAGTTTGTTTCCTTTTTCTTTAAGCCGCTAAGCCGTTAATAGCCGCTAAGCCGCTAAGCCGCTAATAGCCGTGCTTCGCAAGACGAAAAAAACCGCAAGACGAAGAGACTGGCGGAACGGATTAATTTCGTCTTGCGAGGCACCACTGTATCTGACTAATGGAATAATGGATTATCTCACAGCCCCAGGGTTCTTCATCTGTAAAATCTGAGTGTTTCAGAGGCTAGTTTTAGAATATTGTATTATAATCTCTTAGCTGTAGCAATTCAGATGTAGTTTTGTATTTAAGCAATGAATGATATTTTAGAGTATGGCTCATAGGTTGAGGTAGGTTACTGGCTTCTGAAGACACAACTTTGTGTGCATCTGCCACTGGCTGGTAATAATAAAGTATACTCCACAAACCTGAAATAAGACCACCTCTGCTCCAAGTATCAAGGCAGGTACTGAAGTGGATTCTTCAGAAGTGATGGACTTTAAGATCCAGCCATACAAAGAGTTAAAGTTTGGAGAACCAAACAATACACATCTGACCAAAAATCATCACATAGTGCTATGAACCGTAATCTTTTGTTCCTAAACCTGTTGACTCTTATGTTGCTTGTGCCAATGAAATAGATTTACTATGATCTCTGTATTATCTCCAAGATTACAGATATAACCTTAGATCCCATTCATTACAACAGAAGAGAGTTCAACAGACTTATAATTATCCTTGAAATGAATGGGATGAAAAATGCTTAACTTGGGCCTGATTATGTATGCTAAAGTGCTAATATATTACCAAAAGGCAGAAACAAACCTAAAATAGACATGTTTCATCGTGAAATATATTTAGAATTACCTCAGCCACGTAGCTAATGGCATCCTTCAAGTTGAGCTCACGGAAAACTTTAACAATTCGGTCTCTACTTTTCTGAGCAGACCTTCTCATCAGTACTTTGCTGAGGACTTGCCTGTCGAAATTAGTCCACCTGATGATTCAAACACAGCATATGTAGCAGCTATTAATTAAATGGGGCACATTTAGCATTAGGTAATCAAGGTTGGCACCCCATCCCATGGTGTGGAGACAATAACAATATAACTTGAAGACATCCAATTCTTTTTTTGTGATTGGGCTCAAAATGGGTAATTTAGAGGAAATGGGGCGTTTTTGGGGGGGGCACACAATGTACAGTCAGGTCAGAGAATCCTGTAGCCAAATCACCAAAGGGAAAATTTCACTTTTTTGAAAAATAAATAAATAGATGAATCACTGTCGGGAGGTAAGGCTAGTGTTCCCCTCTGTACCCCTTTTCTGAAGCAGGGAGCTAACCTCTTACCTCAGAAGATCTAATACTTTTTACTACCTTAAATGCAGCCCCAAATACTGCCATTCCCTTTTAGGGCCAACACTTATAAAACAAACAAGCAACACTTTCTGCACCAGTTCCTGCCCTCATCTGTCCGCCCTCCCAGTGCCACCTGTAGCAGGTCCCTGCAGCACTGGTTCCCAACACCAGCCCACCTGATGTTCAGCTTTTCACTGCAACCTGCATGTTCTTTAATGCTGCCCCCAATGTCCCACATCCCCTTCCTTCCAATGAAGGGGGGGCAGTCGTGCTGTCTGCTGTTCAGGACAGATACACTCAACCGCCCAGCCAGACCAGGGGCCGCAATAGTGAGCAGTTGGGCCTGGCTGTCACCCTGAACTGGGGAGGCACGTCCCTCCCTCTCTTGGACCCCACTATGATACCGGAAGGCTATGGAAGAAGTGTTCAAGGTAAACAGCAAGGGAGACCTTCCAAGTTATTTTGCCAAGGCATACGATGTTAAGAGAAGCTTGTCGAGTTAAGCCCAGAGGGGCTGGGTCAACCCAGTCAGATGGGCAGGGTACAAATCAAATCAAATCATGGTTTTAATGGCCTCACAAGTTTGCCTTTCCATGGAGAGTAAAATGCAAACTAAGAAAATAAGTATTTGGCACCCATAAGAAGGGGATTAAGATATGGAAATTTTGGAATTGTTTTAAACTGGCACAGTTAATGCAAAGAGCTGTAACTCTGATGTCAAAAGAGTGGGAAGAATTCCAGAAATTCCAAAGCTTACGAGAAAGGGTTTTCCCATGTGCCGTTTCTCAGCATTGACCTGTATCGCCAAATATTAGTTTGATTAGCAGATGACCAGATGTCAGGCTATCCTATCATGCTATTTTAGTCCACCTTTTCCATTCGTCAAACTGTTCCATTCTCGTAACACAAAGGTGCCTGACTCCACTTACTTGTCTCTCAGGTAATTATGTCCTATTTGACCAGATATATCTTCAATAGCTGAAAGAATGTGGTCAAAGGCCTGTGAAAACAAAGACCACAAAAGGTGGTTGGGTAATTGCAGACTAACATATAACCGTTTAGATGCAGACAGAGGCTGGGTTTGGTCAACATATACACACCAAAGATAAAGTACCACTGTGAGAGTCACTCTTGGTATCAGTAGTGCAAAAGACCAGATTCTGACCTCTGTCCCAGAGCCTGGGACCCTGACTCTGCACCTTCCACATGCTGTCAGTAGGATTGCTGATCACAGGACTTGAGCACTGCTCCCTACAGGCTGTGTCAAGCTACTCTCAGCAAAGCCAGGCCCTCCTGTATCCCACCCGGAAGGGTCCAGCAGCCCCCGCCTCCCCAACATGCAAGTTATTTGCAGCAGGAGCCGAAGTGGCGAACCTCAAAGACCTTGGGGGAAGGTGCCAGTTGGCTGCTTCAAAGCAATCAGTGCAGGGAGGGCTCAGCTTGCCAGGCGCAATTCACACCTCTGCCACTGTTTAAAATCACAAGTTTTTCCTCTGTTTCCTTATTTCAAACTTCTTCTGTTGTTTAAATGCACCATTTAAAAACTTGCCCTCGCTTTTGCTCCCTTCCCCCTTTATGCAAAGCCAGGAATGTGATGAGGTACTACAAACTCTCCAATGGGGGCCTGTGCAATGACAGCTTTACATTTTTATGTATATAGGTAGATACATGTATGTACACGTACGTACACACAAACACACACATCCCACCACCATAACAACCACAGGAAGCTTTGGCAGCACAGAAAACACAAACATCGTAAGTTTAGTCTATCAAAAGCCTGTGGGCTGAGGGGAAGGTAAATCCTTACCTGGTGCCAAAAAGATGCCAATGATGGCATCTGGCAGACATTCCACAGATGAGGAGCCACAATTGAAAAGGCCCTCTCACTTCTATACTAACAGTGATCTCATTTTCTGGGTATCTATCCCAGGCATAGGCAAACTCAGCCTTCTGATGTTTTTGGGACTACAACTCCCATCATCCCTGACCACTGGTCCTGTTAGCTAGGGATGATGGGAGTTGTAGTCCCAAAACATCTGGAGGGCTGAGTTTGCCTATGCCTCCTGGCCTATCCTTATGTAATCAAAATGGCACAATCGGTGCACAATTAGTATGGTTTACAGAAGTCCAAAAACAGATGTGGATGAAACAAACGAATGCTGAGTGATTGTTTGCAGGAGGCGGGCAGAAGGGAGTATCCATGGCTGCCTGAAAGTCTGAACAGGAACACGCTGCACTGCAACATATTATTACAAGTCCCACTTGTGTAGCTAAAATGGGTTTCATCTGTATATGAAGATACCTTGAATCACAGAATTGTAGCGTTGGAAGAGTTTACCCACTGCTTTGTGGGACATCTTCGGGAGAAGGAAAAGCTAAGGAATACACCTGACACAAATCCAGAGTGGAGTCCCTAAGGCGGTAGAAAGGTGCCTCCTTCTGGTGGCTTCTGCAGCCAAGCTGGTGCCAAACGTATTGCTCTGCTTTCCTTTGGACCACATCAGTGAGGCCGAGGGGAAGGGTCTTGTTGTCTGGGCAGCCCAAGACCTCCATACACACTGCCCAGGCTTGTGCCCTGGGGAGATCACTTTGGTGCTACTAACACAGCAGAAACAACATGGGAGGCAACAGTTATGAGCTCCCGGTCTCTACAGCCACAGCAGGCGCTGTGATCTCTAGCGGACTGACTTCACCCCGGAGGCGCACTTCATTGTCTCTCAAGATAGACGTCAACAACAACAACAGAAGAGTTGGCTGTCCAGCCCCCTGCAGGCTATCCCAACGCCAGTGCGCAGATGCCACCAACTCCTACTGATCACAGCTACAGTGAGAGAGAACTGGGAGCACAGGCCTTCTCACTGCTTGCTACCCAAACAAGCAAGGGCTAGAATTTACCAGGGTGGTATTATTACTGAGGTATTATTAGGAAGTGGCAGGGTCTTTTGACCTCACTGACCTCTATTTGTTCTGAGTATGAGACCTGCTTACCCTGCCATGGAGCTTCTCGTTCAGCTTGGGCTCTCGCTGCTCACTTTTTTTCACTTTCAACCACTGCACCAAAGGCTTGATTGTCAAACCCTGCGGAGGGAAAACTGACAAATTACTCTCACCTCAATTAAAAGCAACAATACAGTAGAAGACTGTGCATGTATTATAGACACTAAAAATCTCAAAGATGAAAGAAATATCACCAAATGTTTTCACCACATACCACGGATGAGCAGACTGAGATCTGAGAGTGGGTGGATCTGACACAGTGAGTTGTAACAAGTCAAGAGGGTGCGCTTGTGCAGTCACATAATGCGCAAGCATCTCTGCTCACCTGTTAGGTCCTTTATTCTGAAATAAGCTGCTTGGGCTTGGGTGGCTGGTCCTTCTAAATGGACATGTTCTATGCCACTCTGAAAATGTTTGGAATGGGAGACCTGAGTGGGTTCCTTCCCGACTGGCATGGCATATGTCACCACATCCCTCATGCAATTTCCACATCTCAGTCATGAGTAAAGGAGCATCAGATACAACCACTGAGTTATGCTGTTCAGGTGAAATAAAACAACAACCCTGTAACCTGTAACCCTTAGAGAACTTTGGGCAATGTCTCCCACCACACTCCACCAGCTTCTAAACTACTTGTAGCTGCCTGTTAATCACTAGTCCATGTCCTGTCACAGTCTTGTCCTGCATCTATTGGAACGCATGTCTTTAAATGAAGGCCACACTGGTCTAAAATACAAACACTTTAATGATCAATGCATATGCAAACTAAATAACAAATTTCATAAACTTATATTGTGTGTGCCTTGTATGCAGAAATGGTATCCCTGCCTCTAAATTCCCCTCATTTAAAGAAAGTGATAAGGATTTACAAATAGCAAATAACATTTCTGTAGTCTGTCTCATGAAATATTAACTCAAGATCAACTAATACATGGGGGTCTGACACAGAGGTTTTAGGTTTTTAGTACAGAGCACACAGTTTTTTATACTCCCTGCTCACTGACATAATATAAAGCCAGCATTTGAGATCTGCTTTTGATACTTCATTGGGCCCTCACAGACTTTACTTCCTAGCAGTCTCTCCCCACCTCCACCTGCTAAGCCGCTGCATGCACCGTCTGCATGCCTAGATTTCATTTCATTCCACGACAAACAGCTTACCACTGAACGTTGCATTCAGATGGTCAGACACTGCTTTTTACCGGAAGGGAAGAGGACACGACAAGGATGCGTGAGCCAAAACATCCCTCCCATACTAGGTTCAAGAAGAACGCCTAACCCGGCACTTTACCCGTAAAAGCAACAGAAAGGCTGAACAATTAAAATTACCTGGAATATGACAGTAAAAAACACAACAATGATTGTTGTGCTGACAAACAGGTTTCTTTCTGCGACATCTTTACTGTTCAGGGTTACTACCAAAGCAAAGGCAACAGCACCACGGAGTCCACCGTATGACATGACCACTTGATCTATTATTCCCAGCTGGACCATTCGGTAGTGGTTTAGAACCCAAGTCTGCAGAATTACACCTGTTAAAGCAAATGTTTCAGAGTAGCAAAAGCCCGCATAACAATATTCACTTTGGAATTAAGAATGGCATGACCACTGAAGCATCACAACACAAAGCTGCTGCCAAAATACATTTCCTTCCTAGAAATGGCAATTTTGCCTATGGCAGGAACAATCTGGCAAATAATGAATGCAACAGACACTGCCGTGATCCAGCTTTCCTCGTGTTTTGTTACATGCGCAGCCTCATCTGTACTGGACAACCCATTATGTTCAATGGTGAGCACTGCAATGAGCATCCACAGCAGTTGCACACACGGAACTCTCTTGCTGGATTTGTTTGAAACAAAACAATTGCTTGAAAAGGTTTTAACTGCTTTCCATAGGGCTTGGTTTTTTTAATAGTGGTTTTATTTATTTCCCTGGTAAAGAAGATAAATTTTGAGAAAACAATTGTTACAACAATAAACAACTTGTCCTGACAGAATTACAGACTTCTGTCATGCCATGTATTGAAGTTTCATTGGATTACTCAGAGATCACGTCACATTTTCCCATGAGTGCTGAGTGGATTCATGCCACAGTCTGAACAATTTATGTATTCAATAAACATTTCCCATATGTTATAAAAGGAATATGGCTTGTGTTTGTCCTTTGCTGCTCTCACTTGGCATGTTAGTTTCTCAGCCAGTGCTATTGACTGTACTCTTGTTAGACCAACACCAGTTTTCCAACATCTGGCTGTCTCCATATGGGCAGCAGTCAATAGAAAGGCTAAGAGGTCATCTTTGGAATAATCATGAGCAGGCAGGATCCTAAGCCCAAGCAGTGCTAGTGCAGGGGACACTTCCGTTGTTTTGTTGTATACTCAGCTTATTTCTTTGAAGGGTTTGATAATGTCACAACACCACCACATATGGAAATATGTACCCTTGACTATGCATCCCCTCCAACAATTGGGATTGACTTCCTTACACATTCGGGACAGTCTCACCAGTGTATAATGCTACCTATGCAGAAGTTTTAATGAGGCTTCCCATATTTTTGCAGAAACTAGACCGTTGGTATTTGCACATCTAGGTCCATTTCCCACGGCATTTTTGTGAACAATAGATTGCCATATTCTAGTGTTATTAGAGCTTTATAAATTGAGAAAGCTATGCCCTTAGAGAGTGGAGAGAAATTAACAAAGATGTGCTCTATTGCTGTTAGTTTCCTGTTTGCTTGAGTGGAAATGTCTGGGTTTAACAGCAATCTTCACAGCCGGTTGAAGTGGTACCATGACTATTTAAGGTTTGGTATGGCAGCTAGGAATTGTTATTTTTGTAGGGGGATACTGTCTGCATAAAAATATTTTAATCTATAAAGGCCCACCTGTTCCCAACCATTCCAATCTAAGTATTGCCCTGCTTCTTTAAAAGATGGGTGAAAGCAAAGAGGGATAAGGGGAGTAGTGGGGGAGCCAGTTTTTTAAATGTTGCTTTCCACACATTTAGTGTGGAGTGGAGAAAAGGGTTCGCAATTGTATGGGTTTTATGTTTTCCATAGGTAAACTTTCAGGTGCTAACTGCAGTTCTGATTTTTGCTGAAAATTAATCAGCACACTAGTAAAAAGATGATTGGAAATTTCAGATATCAGATCTCATCTATTTAGTCAACTTTAATATATTAAAGTCGTATAGTGGGTCTGCAGATGAAGATGATCTTAAATCTGCTTCTGATAAGCTATCAGGGGTTACTCACATCAGCCCAACTGAAGGCAGTGTTTCTTCACTATCAGTCTGATCCTCTAAGTCAGGGCGGTCCAACTTTTCATACCACGTGGGCTGCAAGGGTACTTTGGCATGGAACCCAGGGGCTGCACATTGCCTTGTCATGCGGGGGGGGGGGGAGGCAGGGGCGGGCAGGGAACATGGTCAAAATCTGGTACACATGCACACCCCAGCACTTGTGCTGCCTTCTCAAAGCCGGTTAAGCAAAGCACCAGGCATTGGGAAGAAGGCGTGAAGGCTCTGGCAGGGTCCTAGAACCCCTCCTTTCTTCCCAAAGCTGAGAAAGCACTAACTAGGCTTTGGGAAAGAGGCTGCAGGACCCTAGGACCTTGTCAGCGCCTCCTTACCTGGCTTTGGGAAGACAGGGGGTCAATTGTTGCCTACAGCTGTCCAAAAAAGCCTTGATGGACCATCTTGCTTTAAGTGCTTCCACAAGGGAAGAGATGAAGGGGTACTTCTGAAGCATCTGGAAAATGGGATGGACCACTTCTAAGCTGAGGAGATGGCCAGCGCCAACCAATGCCACCAGCAACAAGGCTGGACAGTTTCCTGGAGCTCAGAGATGTTTAAAAGGCACACCAAGCCAAGTCCTAGAGCAGACATAGTACAGATTCCACCTTCCTGGCAGCTCTCTTAGTGATCAAAATGCCAACAGGAAGAGGAGAATGTGGGAGAGATGCAAGCAGCCTGCTCTTGCTAGGAGGATACTCACTGTAGGAGGAGAACAATACAGTTCTATTGCACAGTCCCATAAAAATCTGGAACTGTCATATCTGTAGAGAGTTTGTTGCAGAATTTAAGCAGCAATGAAAACAAGGTCCCTGATAAAAACCTGCAAAATGTTCTAATTTATTTTTCCACCCAGCCGGTGATATAACATGAAGGAGACCAAAAGCTGAAATTACCACTCTTAGTAGGAAAATGTGTTTCCTTACCAATTACTCTGTAGACAGAGATGAAGACCAGCGTCAAGAGTATGAAGGCTGTGTTCCAAGTCCAGATGTTAGGATCAACAGCTGAAATTCCCAGGAACATGAAAATAATAGTCTCTGCGCCACTCGCCAACATCTTCATGGTGTATTTCACAGTGGTAGAAGACTGCTCTGAAATATTTGCCTTGACATATTTCTGACAGCAGATACCACAGAAAGTTATACTGAAAGAAATTCAGCACACATCTTAATCACTTATCTTTGCAGCAACTTGTTCTGCATTGTCATATCTACTAAACTGTTCTATTCTGAAATCTAAAAGCAGACCTCCACCTAAATGTTTTGTTTCCCTCTGAAATACTGACCTACCTGAGCCAAATCCTTTGGCAGGCAATGGAAATAAAAAAGTTTAACTGCCACAACTGTCAGGCGTTATTGGATCTGTGTTTGGCTGCTCTTTGCAGTTAACCTCTGAACTGAAGATAATGTTGGTTTATAGAAAGGAGTCTTGCTGGGTGTTACATTGGAGTGGATGAGTTGAATAATGTTTATACATAGCTGACATATGAAGAATAAGAAGTTCATTAGTTTCTGAACTTCATTTTTTCTCTTTTAATCCTTTATTTCTCTCTCTCTCTCCTTTTCCTCTGGATCTGTGTTTTTATCAAAATTAATGTTTCAGTTTGGATAAAAACAATATTTGAGAAAAATATTTTATCTCTCTTTTAAAATTCTAATAAACGTCCCCCCTCCCCAAAAAAGAGGGAACTGAACCATGGAAGATGATAGGTGACCCCTGCCTCCTGGTATGTCCTTCGGTCCAAACTTCCAGCTTGCTCCTCAACTTGGCCTCCTGGTTGGCCCTAAGAGCCTGACTCCTGCCTTGTCCCATGGCTTCTGCTTCCTGGCTCACCCAAGAGTGCTGCTCATAGTGCAGCCCTGACACAGTCCACATTGCAAGGGCCCCGACTCTCCCTACGTGTATCTTAAAGGAACAGTACGATCCCCATTATGCTAGTGCCACTGTTATATGAAGGTTTAGCTGGTAGTTTAGCTATTTTTAATCATTTTGATTATTGTAATCTGCAGCACAACAAACCATAGAATTCCCCAAGGGTCTTCAAATGACTTCCAAGCCTAATAGTTTTGGGACATTCTCCCCAAGTTTCCACGAGTTTCTTTGGTTTTGTCTTTTTAATACAGATAGAATTGTTTTCGAACTCAGCTGGGCATTACAATCGCTTTAAAACGACCCCTTTCTCCAGCAGTAATAGAAAGAAACACCAGTTAATTAACTGAAACTTACGCAAGGATGGCAGAAAGTGACAGCATCTCAGCTGTCAAGTAAGACAAGTAGGAGACAACAAACACAAATCCGGGCTCAATTATTCTGACGTGCTTTGTGAAACGAGTGATAAGCGAGAGCAGGAATGCAAAGACAACACCGACTAAAGTACCTCCAATGCTCACCACAAAGAAAGACACTGCAAGAACAAAACCAGACAAAAATCACATGGAATTTTTATAAAACGCTTTGAATTTTTAAAAACAATACACACTTTGGTTTATTGACTTTTTAGTCTTTGCTTCTGGTGGCTGGGAAAGTTGGGGAGATGGAGCTAAGATCTGTTACACAGATCCCTAGGTATCATAATAATTCACCTGCATTGAGGGGCCTGAACACCCGAAAAGGTGTTCTGCTGGTGAGACACTTTCCCCATTACATACATTCCTGTGGCCCCAGCATCAAGCAATAGCCAAGACTCAGAGAGACAAGGATTGGGAGCCATGGAAACCAGGGCTGAAGAATTGAACCTGAGCCTAACCGCTGTACCTTTGCAGATCTGAAGACCGAATGCTCTCAGGTGCCTTCCCCATAGCCTGGTTTACCTGAAGTATTAAGCACCTCCTGCTCTACAGTGCCTGACCAACGGTGCAGAGAGCATTCCAGGGAAGACATCACAGATAGAAGCGAAATAGGTGCTTGGCCCGTTAAGAAGCCACACTCCACATCCAGGAAAGGTGGATCTTAGGGAGGGATAAGGTGTAAGATTGGCTTCCTCAACCTCAGCCCTCCAGATGTTCTTGCCTACAACTCCCATGGTCCCTAGCTAGCAGGACCAGTGGTCAGGGATGCTGGGAATTGTAGTCTCAAAACATCTGGAGGGCCAAGGTTGAGGAAGCCTGGTGTAAGAAGACCTCAGTCAACCACTAATTTTTGGTTTGAGCCAGTTGTGCACGTGGAGCTGACTGAGGTGCTTGTTGCTTTGTGAGTTTCTGCTGAGGGCAGGTCACATCACGGCCTTGCTCCATGGAGCTCAGAGTGGCATCCATGAATGGCCACACAGCCATGTTGCCTGAGGCTCATGGGAGTTGTAATCCAGGACACCTGGAGACCTCCAGGTTGGCAAAGGCTTCCTTGCTTGAGCAAATCCTGTATTCCACCTTAAAGGGAGGCGACCAAGAACCCTCTGTATACTACTCTAAGCTATCCAAAGGAAGAATGGTATAGTTTTGCTTATTAGTTTGCTTTAAAAGTTTGTTTCCTGTTCCCCACCCCCACTAAAAATTTCTAGTATCTTACAACAGCCTTTAAAACAGAACATAAATGTTAAACAACAAGTAGTGCATTAGTTATTCTGCAGCGGATACTAAGAACAGCCATACAAGACCCTAAAAAGTAGGGTTTCCAAAACGTGGGTCTCCAACTGTTTCTGGACTAAAATTCCCATCATCCATGCTACCTGACTTAAAAACCTAAAGCCTTGATGTGAAATATATATAAAGCTTAACTTAAAGCTTGTGAAACTAAAGATGTTTTTCATCTGGTATCTTAATATTAATAAAAAATCTCCCCTCTCAGGAGGCAACTTCAAAGGTGTGGTGCCACACACAGAGAAAGGAACCTCACAGCCTCCAATTATGTTGGGGTGGCGAGATTGCTTGAGCAGAGTCTTCAGTCATGTCTTAAAGAAAGGCAAACTCATATGCGTAAATTCAGCCTTTCAGATACCTTTGCCCCAGATCTTTAGGCTTGGGGGCGGGGTGTCAAAAACTACACTTTGAATTGTACCTGGAAACAAACTGGAAATCAGTAGAAGCACACACGCACACAAATAATATATAGACAAGATGGTAGTTCCTTTTTCTTTACTTTTTTTTTAAGAGGAGGAGGGAGAAAAAAATGGAAGCTGGATTTTAAAAGGGAAGAAAGGCATGGAGAAAGAGAGACTGAGAGACAGAGAACCATAGATAGAATAACCCAGCTCAAAACCCTGCTCATGCAAAGCTGGCCTCTGTATGAACCATCCCTTCTGCATCGTTGCCTTTTACCCATTGGCAATGGCAAGCAAACTTCTCACTTATCTTTTTTTATGACAGCCCTTAAAAGGACATAAACATAATAGGGCTGTTAACATTCCAATAAACTGCACAAGGTGTACCATTCAAGAGTACCTGCTAACACAGGAACACGTGAATGTATGCCACCTTGAGCTCCTTAGAAGAAAGGTGTTATATAAATACAATAAAAAATTAAAATTTAATTTAAATTGTAGGGGAAATGCAGGGTACTTTTCTACAGAACTCTTATTAATTGTAATGCATTATGCACAAAAGCTAACTGTTGTTTGATTTGATTTTAATATTAAAGGCAGGATGGAAACATGTTCAGTTGTCTAACACTGGAATTACATGCATTACCACTCGGTTCTGTATGCAGATGCCCAGCGATCCCCTGTCTGCTGCACGTCAGCACCTAGTGGGGGCTGGGGGGGTGCTAAAACCTTCCATTGCATCTGCCACTCTCCCTGCTCAGATGCTTCTCATCCATCACGGGGTATAAAGCCGACATAATTTAGGGCCAAGACCCCAGGTGGATGGGAATCACAGAGGAATGAGAATGGCCGGGAAAGGTTAATCACCCCTCTATTCACACCCCCCCCCAGCTTCCAACATTTCTCTCCCAATACTGCTTTGTGGCAGAGAAGCGGGACCTATACATTTGCATGCAAAAGATCACAGGTCACTTGAAACTAAGCAAGCTTTTTTATATACCAATACCAAACAAATTAAGCAAACACAGTGATATGGGTTCTGCTTTGGGGTGGGGAAAATCTTTATACTTCTTAACTAACCCATAGCTGCAACTTTGCTCTCCTTTAAGTGTGCCACTGAGGTTCAAGAATAGCAAATGAGAGGAAAAGTGAAGAGTGTTTGAGGCAACAGGACATCATTATTAAAATTTCACAAGATACTTACTAATGATGTAATAAGTTTTAAAAGATGACTTACCCACACCATAGACCCAGTCGGTAGCAACCACATTGTCAGTTCCTATTTTAACAAATGATTCAAACACATTGTATAGCACCTAAGAGGAAGATAAATTGATCATTTCATAAAGGAATCAAAGAAAGCATTTTATTGTCAACCAATAACAATTTCCTGATTTTTTGTAATGTACACAATATCTTTCTTTGTTTTCTATTTTGCTTTCTACATATGTACTATTTCTTGTTTCTTTCTTTTTTGTATCTTATTTCACCATTTCTTTAACAGTACACTACCAAATGCAACATCTATAGGCTTCTATTTTACATTTGTGATTAAATTGTGATGGAAGAAAGCCTATTTGCAAAGAATTTGAGTGTGTGCTTATGAAAACAGCTAACCTTTTTTTCTCTATGTAGCAGTGATATTTACCTAGGTAAATTTACTGACTGCTACTTCATACCGATTTATCTGTGTCCTGAGTCATTCAATGAATTCCTGATTTATCCGCAGTCCATTGACCATTAGTTCAGAATTAAATCTGAGGAATTTACTTTTACTTTGGACTTCAGAAAAAGATCTTACCACAGTTACGGCATCATTAAGCAATGACTCTCCAAAGACAATGATGAAGAGGACTTCATTGACATGGACTTCTTCAAATACAGCCAACACGGCAACAGGATCCACTGCAGCTATTAGACTACCAAACAAGAGGAAATCCAACCAACCAGTTTGAAGGTCACCTAGAACAACAAAGCAAACCTCATAAGAATGTTAGCCACTCTTTTCTGGGGTGGGGAATTGAGTTGCATTTAATATTGCCTTTCTTATGTGCTTGGTCCTTCTTGAGTGCATTGTGGGGGGGCGGGCGTGTACATGTGCCTGGATTTACTAGTTTCATCATGGTTAGAACTATTTCCCATTGAAATGTTAGGCTTGTTTATTTTAGACCCTATTCCCATATTAAGACTTGTGTGGATGTAAGTTACTGGATAAACCTGCCACTGTCTTAAGGGTCTAATTCATGACACTCCTAATTCGTGAGCACGTTGAACAGATATATACCCCCAGCTCCTCCAAGTGTCTAGTATCAGGTATGCCAATTATCTTCTTTTTAGCACATAGATAATGAAGTTTCAAGGTCAAAATAACTAGAGCTGGGAAAGATACAATTAGGACCACCTCTAACACATGCTGCATTTGCCACAGAATCATTCAAGCAGTGAAACCCAGCTTTTCAAAATTAAACAGAGAACATGTTAATTTTGCAGACTAAACACATTTCCATTTTGCCAATGGTTTGCAGTCTGCAGTGATAGTGGCTGAACTGCACCACTGAAAACCAAGTAATAGTCAACCTGCTAGCAAAGAAGGTTCTCTTCCCTACCCCACCCCCACTTGAATGTGTTTAAATGTCAAAGGGGGCATGTGGTTGAGGTTTGCTTCAGACTGACAAGAGTTTTTTTTCTTGATGATAATCCTGAGGTTTTGAGAGAGAACTATTCCCTAAGGCTAGATTGGAAGAACAATAGTGGCATGTGCCCATTCACCTAGTCAACAATGGCACTAAAGGGCACGGTTTCCATTTCAGAATAAAAAGCGACTGTCCCGACTGCACACAAAAGAAAGCAAAAGCAATCCTTTATAGTTGATTTCAAAACTACACCTATTGTAAACTGAGCCCTAACACAAACATCAAGAGGCTTGCCAATCCTAAATGCTACCAAGATGGCAGCCTATCTTTACTGGAACTTCAGAGGAAAGGGTAAACTAAACACAGGCCTAATCTGGCTTCGAAACTTACGCAACCGGATCTTGATGAGAAACCTGAGATGGGCAATCTTCTTTAAATGCAAAGATCATAGTTTTCTCAGAAGCTGCTAGTTCACCATGCATATCATCCTAACTTAACCGAATGCACAGGGTCTGTAGTGAGAATGTAGCTGGAAGGGAATAACCACAGAGACTGCTCTGATCTCTTTGGAAGAAGGGCAGGATAAAAATATAACAATAAATATATGTAATAAATTATCAGCTGTGGTATCAGCGCAAAGCAGGTTCTTACCAAGTTCATGACTTGGAGCGGTTGATGTGACAAAAGCTCCACAGTTACTCATCCCAGGACAACCCAAGAAAACATGAGCCAATAGCTAATAATGAAATAATGATTACCCACGCCTTACCCATTATTCCTGTGAGAAAGACCCCATAGAGCGAAAGGCCTGTGGTGACAGTATTCCAGATGGTCCCGATGACAGCATATAGGAGGATGGTGCCCAAGTTGCCAAAGAAGAGTCGGTTTGGCATGAAGTATCCTGCATCTAAGACGATGGGTGGCAGCAGGTAGAAGAAAAAGACGTCTGGAGTAAGGGTGAAGGAGGCAATACGATCTGCTGCAAACACAATGCCTCCCAGGATAATGCCCAGCGCAATGAGCAAGACACTTTCTGGAACCACGCTGGTGACTTTATGGGACAGGTGGAAAACTGTCAAGAAAACAACATGGATGAGAGTCAGAAGGCAAATGCAAGAAGAAACATTAAATAATGGTTGCATAAAAGTGTGCATAAATGGGTGCATAAAAGTGTGCAATATCATGTGAGTATATCATGGGGCAAGACATCTTGCACCTTCTTCTTCTCCACAGATCTCTGCTCCAATAATGGCTAAAAGGCTGTTTATAATGAAAAAAAGAACTGTAAAATGAATTTTGTGGAGGAGGTTTTGGGTACACACTCACTCAGAATAGGGAGCTCACATGCTGATTTTACTTCCCATCTTGACTAATGGGAAGGGTTTGAAAATAGACAGATTAACACAATTTTGGATTTGGTGGTTCCTCCACCTTGGATTACCCCGCCCCAACCCCTTTGAATTGCTCTACCCTTAATGTTATTCATCAAAGATTCCCCAGGCTCTTATTTAAATTAGAACAGGGCTGGGGAGAATGAAGTGCCCTGTTTGGAGGAAATGGCTGGTTTTAACCACGAACAGGAGCACTGCTTTTAGGAGGGAGGTTACAGTGCAACATTTTGTTGCAGATCTCACTTGTAACATTGCTAATGTCGATTTTCTCTCCTCCTCCAATTAATATTTATTCGTAGAAAGTAGGTCACTTGTATCAGTTAATACAGTGCAGGAGTGAAGAGTGTCTTGAAACGTATTGTTCTGGTATGCAAGAAATAAGATCCATTTTCTTATAACTTCCTTCTCAGTTTTTTTGGGATTCACATTGACAGCATTCCTATTCCATCTTCAAGCCTCACATCCTAAAATCAATGCCCTGAGCTACTCTGTCCCAACTCTTCATAGCCTGAAGACCCAAGCAATTCAAGCACATGGCTTCGGTGCCACAAATGTGTCCAAATCTACAGCCTAGGAATCAATATGCCACACACAGTTCAACTACATTTCTAGCCAATGCTTTCTAGGCTGCATCCTCCACAACACCATTAATTACTGTGGTTCCCCACTTGCTCTTATTATGTTTCCATATACTAACAATGTCTGAGTCCTGGTCATGGGGCAATTGAAAGAAAGAAATAGATGGATGCTATGATAGACAGTAAGTGGGGTGCTTCCAAATACTATTCATTATTCTCTTTGCACATATAGACTATTATAAAGGTAAAGGTACCCCTGCCCGTACGGGCCAGTCTTGATAGACTCTAGGGTTGTGCGCCCATCTCACTCAAGAGGCCGGGGGCCAGCGCTGTCCGGAGACACTTCCAGGTCACGTGGCCAGCGTGACATCGCTGCTCTGGCGAGCCAGAGCCGCACACAGAAACGCCGTTTACCTTCCCGCTAGTAAGCGGTCCCTATTTATCTACTTGCACCTGGGAGTGCTTTCGAACTGCTAGGTTGGCAGGCGCTGGGACCGAACAACGGGAGCTCACCCCGTCGCGGGGATTTGAACCGCCGACCTTTCGATCAGCAAGCCCTAGGCGCTGAGGCTTTTACCCACAGCGCCACCCGCGTCCCCCGGGTGATAGACAATAAGTGGGGTGCTTCCAAATACTATTCATTATTCTCTTTGCACATATAGACTATTATAGCAAAGAATAAATAAGTTCTTTCCAGAAACCACACTGCAATAAACCAAGGAAAGATGTGAAAGGGTCAGCCCACCCTTGAGGTAAGGTGAGGCGACTGCCTCAGGCAGCATTTTCCACAGAGGAAGCAGATCCTGACAACAGATCTTTATTCCTCCCTGGTTTCTAATCCAGATTTTCACTCACCCCTTCCTCCCTGGTGGGGAGGGGGAGAGGCTATTTTGCAATTCACCTCAGGTGCCAAAATGTCCTGGTCTGGCCCTGGTAAAACATATTAGTAAACAATCAAGGAATCAATATACTTGCAGTGCCCTAATTATTGAGGCATATGGCTCAATATCAACTGTAAGAGCTAAAAAACAAAACTCAAAGAACCCCCTGTCTGCCTTCCCTAATCTTAGCAAGTGCTGAAAAGGTCTCCCAAGTTAGATATAGTCTTAAAAAAACAACAACTGGTTAGCACTTGGTTTGCTCTCTGGAAGGTTTATTAGTTGCTACACACTTAATGATCACCACAGAACCTGTATACACCATTGCAATGAGCTCATTAAAATCACAATTTAGGTCACTGTTCTTTGTGGGTCAACAAATTAGCAAACTTACATTAGCAATTTAAAAGGTGGACGCTATTTTAGGATCACCAGGTCAATGTTCCTCATTAAGTTATTAGGTCATGTGCACACCTGACTTCAGAAGTCAAATGTCAATGGAATTTGGAAACAGACCTATTGAAAACCTTGTGGTCAGTTTGGGGGGTGGCAGAGCAAATTGAAAGACTGTTCTAGACCTGGATTTTGCAATCCATGAAATGAGGTACATTTTTACATTGATCTTGAGAAGAGTGCTGTAGTTTAAGTCAAGGAAACATGGGTTAAAGCCTTAGAAAGCCATAGAAAGCTATACATACCAATTTCTTCTAACTTTCCCATATTCCCATATTCCCATATTCCATTTTCTATGACTAAGCAGATAAGGTCAGTTTAGAGTTGGCGAAAAGCTTCAATACGTTCTATTACATTGGCTTCTATAAAACCAGGACAAGCCCTGTTATTTCCACTCTTTGCATATTGACTGTGGCTTTAATAACATACCGTTTTCGTAAACATAAGGTTAAGCAAATGCATATTCCTTGATTGTTGCAAGCCTTGCTACTTCCTTGTAATGACCAGGGTGGGTGTTGGCAGGCTGGCTACTAGCTTATGAACTTGGAAGACACTTCACTCCAAAATTGCCTATATGATTTTAAAACTTGGCTTCGGTTTGGTTCACTTTTTAAAGGAGTTGCAGGAGGCATGATGGAAAATGTAGCTCAATGAGTTAAATTGGTTACCTTAGGGGAGGTGACATCCCAAGTCATATGCACAGAATATGGGGACCTTTCACAATCCAATCAATGCAATTGAAGAAATAATTGCAAGAGACTGGCCCTCGGGAGAGGAGCCCATTGTTCAACTGCTGATCTCATCAAACTAGCTGAAGAGAGCAGGTACCACCATCTGTCCCAACAAAAGAGAATTCTATCAGGGTGAGGATCCATGTCAACCTGACCCAAGGGGGTACAAAGCTATGTTAAATGACACCTCCCTGATCCTTTGAACCTTTTGTTTATGGGAAAAGTTGAATATCACTCCACCTAAAATGGTGCTGTGGTCTAAACCACTGAGCCTAGGGCTTGCGGATCAAAAGGTCAGCGGTTCGAATCCCCGTGACAGGGTGAGCTCCCATTTTTCAGTCCCAGCTCCTGCCCACCAAGCAGTTTGAAAGCATATCAAAGTGCAAGTAGAAAAATAGGTACCGCTCTGGTGGGAAGGTAAATGGGGTTTCCATGCACTGCTCTGGTTTACCAGAAGCGGCTTAGTCATGCTGGCCACATGACCCGAAAGCTGTCTGCGGACAAATGCTGGCTCCTTCGGCCTATAGAATGAGATGAGTGCCCCAACCAACCCCAGAGTCGTTTGCGACTGGCCTTAATTGTCAGGGGTCCCTTTACCTTTAAAAGCACCTATGCTTAGTATCACGCATGTTTGTTAGCCACAACCCAGGGGGTCTGACTCACCTGTTTTTTCTCTCAGTACCTCACTTCTCTGGATCCTACAGAAGTAGAGGTCCCCGTTTGCTGCAGCTGCTTCAAAAGCCCACCACCACCCTTGCTAGCTGGAGGAGAGACTCAATAAGCCATTTTGGGGGCCTGCTCATGCTTGACTTTTCTTCCCTGTTTTCCTGCCTGACCCCAGAGCTGCGCCCCTCCCCCTGCTCCAAACCTCCAGAATTCCCACCAGAACTAGGAAAGGTGCATCCTACTTCCTAGCCTGTCTTCTGGACATACATTCACCACAAACTGGTAGCCTCCACATCCAGTTGCTCTTCCCACGTGTGTGTGTGTGTGTGTGTGTGTGTGTGTGTGTCTGCATTTTAGAAGCCACCCTTTGGTGTCTCTCCTCTTCCCAGCCAACCACGCCTGGCTGAGGCGGCCTAGTCTACAAACGTGGGCAGAGAACAGGATAGTGCTGAACTCAGCTATGCCTCCATCTCCTCTGATGCATTGGGTGCGTGGCTGTAGTTAGAATTAATCAGCTATTCCTCTCAAACTAAAGAAATGTATGTCATAACAGTGTGAGAGATTATGGCAATTCATTATCTCAACCAGGTAGGAGTGACTAAAAGTCAAGTTAACAAACGAGGACATGTCTCCTTTTTATCTCAGTACTTTTTAGAAGAGAATTTTTTTTCACAGGCATGTCATCTGCTGTCAAGATTCACCTTCCCTTTGCCATTGCCATAATAATCTTGTTCTCCTATGTTGTCTTACTGTGATTTTGCTATTCCAGACTGAAGCGAAGGAACCCTCTATGTTTCGTATGCATGTTTTGTTTGGTCATTATTGACCCTTTATGCAAGTCAGTGAGTGAGTTACCGGTACTCCCTGATGCTTTTTCTGTTAAAAACTGTCACCTAAATGAGAGGAGGAAAGGGCTATCAATGCGCAACCTCCAAAGTTGGAGTCAGCAATGCTTCTGAATTTTAGTGGCTGGAAATCACTGGAGAGGAGAAATGTTCATGTGCTCCCTGGTTTCCCACAGACATCTGGTTGGCCACTGTGAGAACAGGATGCTGGACCAGATGGGCCACTGGTCTGATCCAACAGGCTATTTTTATGTTCAGAGGTAGTGACACATGTGGGCAACCTGTTGCCTCTATGGGTATTCAGCATGGCCTGCCCACCCCCACCCCCCGGCTGCCAAAATCTCCTGCTACTAAATTTACATGATGGGCAGGGCATGTGTGGATGGCACCACCCTCTCCCCAGCCCTTCAGACAGCTGCTTGGCAAGCTGGAGGAAGCACACTGTGGAAGAAGGTGCACTTCAAAGAGCTGTTGGGTGGACTTGGTGAAGATTAGCTTTCCACCATGCACCATGAGCGTGAATGGATGAGTGTGCATGTGCATCCATGAAGGAAAGCCTGTGAGGAGGCGGGGTGATGCAGTGCAGATAAGGGCACACGAGGAGAGAGTCCTCCGCATGTCCAGCCACATTAAGCTTCTGACCACCCTCTTGCTACTACATGTGCAAGAGGTCACACATGAGATAGAGGGTGACCATCTCCATCTCACCCGGCTTCTGAGCTTTATGTCTGGACTTTAGATGGACCATTTTGTTGTCCCAGCAGGACAGTTCTAAACTAAGTTCTAAACTAAATCTAGAGCCAAGGTTTCGCTGGTTTTTCAAGGAAAATGTCAAGTAACATTGTGGCTGAAATCAGAAACATAAACATTAGGTAGTAAGTCGTTCCAGACGCAAATGAGGCTTACTTCTCAGTAAACATATTTAGGGTCAGGGTATGTATGTGACATAGTTCAAGTGTAGCACCACAGGCTAGAAATAACATTTAGTTTTATTACATCTTATTGTTAACCAATGGTAAAAGGTCAGCAATAACACTAAGTGGTATTAGCAGAAAAAAACTGGAAATAAAAAGGGTTGCCTCAGGTGTTCATATAATGACATCAGCTGAGGTTGCAGCACAAAGCAAAATGGCATTCAAGAACATTAAGTCAAGGTTGAATAAGTTATTCACTTAATTCCCTTGTTAAGATTGCCCTTCAAATGAATATGTGGTTTTAAAACTGAACCAAGCTAAATAGTTTGTGATTTTTTTAAAAGAATTGTTAAAGCCATGTTATGTAGGAGACGGGAAACACATAGTGTAAAGAGGCGCAAAAGAGTCTGAAGTAATGACAGTCTCACAAAAATATTTTTCTGTGTCACACATGCACACAACCTTCATTCCACCCCCCTTTTAAATACACTGGCCAGAAGAAAGAGGAGTGTGAGGTAAATCCTAAAAGAGCAATTGTCAGCTGCTTTACTCCACAGTTTGCCATCACAGAACAAAGGCTTTGTCGCCTCCTGGTTTTCTCCCAGATTGCTCACCAGTACTCAGGTGGTCTCTGGACATAGTGTTTATGGATTTCAGTAAGGTTTTTGACAAAGTCCCCAATGATACAGTTGTGAGGAAGCTGGTAAATGTGGGCTGAACAAAGTACAGTCGTACCTTGGAAGTCGAATGGAATCAGTTACGGAAGCCCGTCTGACTTCCAAAATGCTCAAAAACCAAAGCACAGCTTCTGATTGGCTGCAGGAAGCTCCTGCAGCCAATTGGAAGCCGCAGAAGCCCCATCGGACGTTCAGCTTCCAAAAGAACATTCGAAAACCGGAACAGTCACTTCCGAGTTTCGATTGTTGGGGAGCCAAAACGTTTCAGAACTAGGCTGCTTGACTTCCAAGGTACGACTGTAACTGTTAGGTGGATTTGTAGCTGGTTGACTGACCAAACCCAAAGAGTCCTCATTAATGGTTCCTAGACATTGTTCAGCCTGAACACTGAGGTCCAGCTCCAAGGGCCTTCTGGCGGTTCCCTCACTGCAAGAAGCGAGATTACAGGGAACCAGGAGGAGGGCCTTCTTGGTAGTGGCGCCCGCCCTGTGCAATGCCCTCCCATCAGATGTCAAGGAAATAAACAACTATCAGACTTTTAGAAGACATCTGAAGGCAGCCCTGTTTAGGGAAGTTTTTAATGTTTGATGTTTTATTGTGTTTTTAATATTCTGTTGGGAGCCGCCCAGGGTGGCTGAGGAAACCCAGCCAGATGGGTGGGGTGGGTATGTATGTATGTATGTATGAATAATAATAATAATAATAATAATAATAATAATATCATCATCATCCTGGGGAAAAGTCTGATGCTGCAGGGTTCTGTCCTGGGCCTGTTGTTGTTCAACATCTTCATAAACGACTTGGATGAAGGAATTCAGGAGATGTTCATCAAATTTGCAGATGACACAAAACTGGAAGGGGTAGCTAATGCCGCAGAAGACAGAATCAGAATTCAAAATGACCTTAACAGATTGGAGAATTGGACCCAAACTAACAAAATGAATTTCAATAGGGGAAAATGTAAGATTTAGTGCTTAGGCAAATATAAGATGGGGGATACCTGGCTTACTAGTAGTATATGTGAAAAGGATCTCGGGGTCTTGGTGGACCACAAGCTTAACAGTGTGATGCTATTCTAGGCTGCATCAACAGAAGTAGAGTGTCCAGATCAAGGGAAGTAAGAGTACCACTCTTATTCTGCCTTGGTCACATCACACCTGGAATACGGTGTCCAGTTCTGGGAGCCACAGTTTCAGAAGGATGTTGACAAGATGTAATGTGTGCAGAGATGGGCCATCAAGATGATCAAGGGTTATGAGGAATGGGATTTTCACACAGGAGTTTCACAGTGGACCGTATTAGGACTCCAGAGTGTGGTACAGTGGTACCTCGCATTACAAACGCATCAGGTTACAAATGCTTCAGGTTACAAACTCCGCTAACCTGGAAGAGTTACCTCGAGTTGAGAACTTTGCCCTAGGATGAGAACAGAAT